TCTTTTCACAGTTTTTCCTTTTTTCTATTTTTTTTTTTTTTTTTGAAAAGAAAAAAAAATTAGAAAATGAAAATGAAATGCTAATTAAATGAAAGAAAAAATCATATTATTCATTCATTCATTTATTATTACCGTAATCTTTAACAAATTTTTTTTTTCTTTTTTTGAAAAAAAAAAATTTCATTCATATTTGTTAGCTATTATTAACAATTAAAATATGAAAAAATTTTTCATTTTTTTTTTTTAAAAATTCATTTATTAGCATAGAAATATGCAAATAAGAGAATATAGTAAATCAATTTGATAATTAAAAATGAAATAAACTTTTTCATAAACTAATGAGTAAGTCAAATTATTAATTAAAATTCTATTCATGCAAATGCATGAATAGAATTTTAATGAAGTATTACTACTACTACTACTACTACTACTATTGCTATTAATGCTTACCAAAATATATTTATTTACTTTTATAATTGATATATTAATTTAATATCGAATAAGAAATTTATAATGGAAATGAAGTGGAAAAAATTTAAATTGAAATAAATGACAAAAATTTATAAAAAGCAATCCATTTTTCTACAAAAAAATTTATTTTATTATAATTAATTTTACTAGCAAAACAAAGGAAAAGAAAAATTATTAATTAATAATGAAATATTTATTTAATAAAAAGTATTAATTAATAATGAAATATTTACTTAATAAAAAGTACTAATTAATAAAGTAAATATTATTCAGATACAATGTAATAAAAATTCAAATTGTTTATTGCTCTTTTTTTTGTTGTACTTATTTTTTGTTGGTTTAATTCAAAAATATTATAATATTTAAATTTTTTAACATTTAAAAAATTTTTAACAACAATTATTTAAATGCATTGATAAAATTTATTGTATAAAATCTTTTCAAACTAAATTTCTTTTTTTTTCAAATTTACAAATTATCAAACTTAAATTTCCTTTTCTCAGTTTTACAAATTATCAAACTTAAATTTGTTTCTTTTTCAAATTTACAAATTATCAAACTTAAATTTCCTTTTCTCAATTTTACAAAATTATCAAACTTAAATTTCTTTTTTATCGCTATTCTTGAAGAATTAAATGAAAAAAAAAGTGTTGCAAATTTGCAAAAATTTAAAAAAAAAAAAATCGAAAGAAAGAAAAGAAAGAAAAATGACAAAATTTTGTTAGGAAATTCGGCGACTATTAACAAGAAAATCCATTCCAATCATTCATTCTACAATTTGAGATCATAAAAATTTCGGACAAATTTAAATGAATTAATTCTTGAAGACAATTTTAAAATTTTAATGAAAAATTTTATGAGTGGAAATGAGAATATCAACGAAAATATGAGCGAATAAAGAGTTTTCCGTATGCGAAATTTTTCGGTTCATTGAATTTTTACAATTTCCTTTTAATATCTTCAAAAGTTCGTTTTCATAAAATTACATTTTATTTTCATTGTTAATTTAAGCATAAAAGGAAGAAAAAAAAAAAGAAAATTTTTTATTTTTTATTTCAGAAATTTTATGATAAAAAATTAAAAAAGTTGAATTTATCATTTCTTTTTTTCCTTTTTTTACTTTTACAATTTTAATTTATAAAATAAATGATTCATTTTTAGTTTTATTTATTATTTATTTTGAATAATTATAGCTTAAATTCTTAAATTATAATATCAAAAAGAAAAAAAATTTTTTTATTTTGATTTTTAAATTATATATGAAAATGTATCATGAAATTTTTTACAAATGAATTTAGCAAATAATAATGATAATAATATTAAGATAATATAATACTAAACAAATAATCATTTACTAAAAATTATAAATGATTTAAATTTAAAAAATTTTTTGCGTAATTTATTATTCAAATGATTATAATTGTTATTGTTAGAATAATAAATGAATTAAATTCTCATTGATTTAGGATATAGAAATTTTAAGTAAATGTTAAATTTTCTATTTAATATATTTAATAAATAAATTTTAATTATTACTTTATAACGATTATTATATGTTATCTGATAATTTCAAAAGTAAAAAATTAATAATTTTTGCAAAAAATTTTATTAGAAAATATTTGTTAATAGCAATGATTAATTAGATTAAACTAATTTATTGATTTAATCAAATCAAATCAATCAATCAATATAATATTTTGTGCATATTTCTGTCTAATCAATCATTCAATTTTAATTGATTCAACCGATAATTATTATAATAATTGACTGATAGATAAATTATATTTAAATACCTCATTTTCTTTTTTTTTTTATAAATACCTGTTCATTCCATCGGGAAAAAAGAGAAAAAAATTACCTTACAATAGCAATTGATCAAAATAAGATTGTTAAAATTTTTCATAAAATATAAAATTCTAAAATTGAGATAAAATTTTTGTTCTTATAGGGTAATTTGAAAAAAATTTTTTTTTAAAAAAAAAAAAAAAATTTCATATTTATTTATGAATAAATAAAAGATAGAAGATTAAAGTATAAAAAGAAAAAATTTTCATTTCTTAAATTGCAAAATTATTTAGTTAATTAGCAAAATTAAATAACTGTAAATTATAACTGAAAAGCAAAAATGTTTATAATAAAAATTATCCAAAATTTATGTGCCAAATATATGAATTTGAAGAGAGAGAGAGAGAGTTAAGTAAAGGTAAACAATATTAAAAAAATAAATAAATAAATAACATAAAAGATTATGCATGAATTTGAAGAGAGAGAGTTGAGTAAAGGTAAACAACAATATTTAAAAAATAAATAAATAAATAAGATGAAAGATTATGCATGAATTTGAAGAGAGAGAGTTAAGTAAAGATAAACAATATTTAAAAAATAAATAAATAACATAAAAGATTATGCATGAATTTGAAGAGAGAGAGAGAGAGTTAAGTAAAGGTAAACAATATTAAAAAAATAAATAAATAACATAACATAAAAGATTATGCATGAATTTGAAGAGAGAGAGTTAAGTAAAGGTAGACAATATTTAAAAATTAAATAAATAAATAACATAAAAGATTATGCATGAATTTGAAGAGAGAGAGAGAGAGTGTTAAGTAAAGGTAAACAATATTAAAAAAATAAATAAACAAATAAATAAATGTCATAAAAGATTACGAATGTAAAACGATTTTCAAATAAGCAATTATTTTGTTACTGAGAGAGAGAGAGAGAGAGAAATAATCAAATTGAAAAGCGTAAATTTTAAATATATTTTTGTTGATGCTCTAAAATGCTGTGTACTTTTTTGTTCATTTAAGTACCATTTCAAATTAAAATTATTCATATCAATGAATAAACACAAATTCGATATTTTTCATTCTTTTTTCATTGCATTAAAAATTTTCACTTATTTTTTCCATTACTTTTGTTTCCTTTTTACTTTCTTATTTTTCAAAAAAAAAAAAAAAAAAATTATTTGAAGACATTTAAAAATTATCATAATTTCTCTATCAAAAGTTTAATTCTTTCCTTTTCTTTTTCTTTTTTTTTTTTTTTTGCATAAAATATTATAAAATAATTTTATTTCAAGATATTAAATTAATGATAAATTTTTATTTTTAAAGTATTGATTGTTTCCTTTTTTTTTTTTAATGAATTTATTCATTTATTTTGAATATTAATGCAATATGTAAATAATATATTATAAATTAATTAAATTAGATATAGATGTAATATCTCTTCGACATCTATCAGCAATTTTAATAAATTCTTAATGAAAATAATTAGATATAAAAGTACACTTTAGAAGTAAGTATTACTTATTAAAAATTATAATTTAATTTTAGTTGTATCTTTGTGTTTTAGATTTTCTGATAAATTATATTTGTTTGCAATTTTCCTCAACTCATTATTCTATTCATTAATTATTGATAAAAAGATAAAATAAAATTATCAATGCTTGAATTTTCTTTATTTCAAAAAATGCTGCAATCAAAAATATTTCATATTTATATCGATTAATAGATAATTAATTATTCACTTAAGTATAATCAGTTTAATCAGGTGATAACTTCAAAACTTTCAAATATTCGAATAACATTAAAATTATCATCGAATTTTGATGAAAGAATTGATACATTGCTCATCACTAGTGATTTAATTATTAAAAAGAAGTTAAATTTATTAATTATTAAAAAGAAGTTAAATCTATTTTGGAATTATTTTGCTAGCAATTAAAAAAATACATTAATGGAAAAAAAAAAATTATTGACTGACTTCCTTACTTTATATAAGAGCAAATTTAATGATTGAAAAAATTTCTAACATTGATAGAAAATTCTAATAAATAATTCCAGTTTTTTTATTCTTATATAATAAACATCCATTTTAACTATTATAGTTGCTACTAGTTTTTCGTTGTAATATAATTAATTGTATATCATTTTGCTAAAGTTTTCTTTTTCTCCCTCTCTCTCTCTCTCTCTCTCTCTCTCATACACCTTTTTTTTCCAATCTTTTAATTTTTGCAGAGTAATTTTTTGATTCATTTACATGAATACAATAATTTCTAGTGATTTTTCTTTTTCTTTTTTTTTTTTTTCAATAAGTGCAATATTGATAAGGCAGATAGAACTAAATAATTAATCAATCAAACATAAAGCCTTTAGCTAGCAGTGTTAAATTTTATATGAAAACATCACTTTTGAAGAAATTTTTGAAATTCAAAATTTTCAACAGTCTTATTACAAGGTTCCTATTTGATTATATATCATATTTGTTGTAAATTTGTAGTTTTTATAATTGTTAACAAGCGAAGGGCAATAAATTTTATTCTTTCAACGCAGAAACTATAAAATAAAAAAACTGTACACTGCAGAGGTATCCAAAGATATGAGTCAAATTTGAGCTAAAATCTTTTCCACTTTGAAAAGAAGATCTTATGCAGTCATACTTTCACTTCAAACATGAATGAAAGGAAAGAAGAAATCTCAAATGGATTGTGGCATTTTTCCTAAACGATTTGAATTATATATGCTCTATTCATCATTGCTTTGCTTTGTAGTAGGAATCCTTTTAGAAACATCAACCTTTAAATAAGCATTAGCATTATGCTTCGGTATGAACAAGAAATTTTCTGGTACCTTTCCTAAAAACATCTCCGAAATTTTAATCCAATCTCTAGACTGATCGCTAGCTAACAAAGTTTCCAGATCGGAACGGCCATGATAAAACGGCGGCCTCTCGTTCATGCGCTGTGGTACAACCTACAACCATAATATTTCAAATAATAAAAAATTTCTAAGGTCTTTTGAATAAAATTCTTCTCTTAAAACCTGTTTCTCTCTTGTTATATGCTAGCTACATAAATCAATCAATGACAGAAACTAAACATAAGTGTTTGCTATAAAAATAATAAGCATTAAATTCCATTTTTGTAAAAGACAAAATTTAATATAAGACTATCAAATGTGTTAATAGCTATTCTATTCAATTTCAAATGAACAATTAAACAATTAAAATGCTATAGTAAGAAAACGACAGAATGCAACAAACCTCTAACAAACCAACAGGTATGTAACGATATGCAAAAGAGAGCCATTCCAAGAGAAAACGACGAGTTTTTTCCACTCCTTCATCATCGCTACCCCAATGCTCCAAACCGTAATTAACGAATCTAAAGAGAGAAATCATATTAACAAAGTTGAAATGATGTGAAAAATGACAATTTGCAAATATATAAACTAAAATATATACATTTGAATGATGAATCAATTCCAAGTAGACAAAATAAGTCTAAAAATCTTTCAAAAAAAAAAAAAAAAAAAAAAAAACAATGCAAAGTCGTGCAGAGAATTACGAATATGACAGAAATTTAAGCAACAATTATAATTCTGAAAAAACCGCTGATTGTAGTTAATTAATTACTCAAAAATTAACCTCTGTATATAATCCAATCGCTCACTAGCTGTAATATCCCAATGCCTACACTCTTTAATTTCTGTAAAAATCCATGGTTTCATAAGTGCTCCGCGACCAATCATAACACCATTAACTGGATATTTTCCTAACTTCTAAATTATAGCACATTTTGAAAAAAATTTGCATTCAAAATTTAACAGCTTGCTTAGACTACAATTTTAAATAGTGATCTAAAACAATTTTTTTTTTTATTCCAAACTTTTATTTTTATATTCCACATAAGAAATCAACAAATAATGAGCTGTAGAGAAATTAAGATTAAAGAATGTAGGAATTACACGAAATTATGATTAGGAAAGATGATAGATCTAGCAGTCAATCTTTTTAATCACCTTTGCTGCTATCGACAATAAAGTTACACAGTTATCAAGTAATAGTTTTAATCGTAATTAAAAAAAAAATAAAAACTAACCTCATAATAATCTGTATAAGAAAGTACATCACCACAGGCCCAAAATGGAATATTTTGGCAGGCCTCACTACATTGTTGTGTATATGACCAATCCGCCAATTTTGTATATCGTTGAGCCCTGAACCATTTCAATCATAATAAAATCTCACTATCGACACAAAAAAAAAAAAAACAAGAGCAACAGAACAAAATTACTCTCACAAATTACATGAACTATATAAAAACTTTACACTTAAATAAAATGTTATTAAAAATAAAATTCCTGCAAAATAGAAAATCTATTTGAAACAAATACTTAGAACGAGGATGCAAAGTAATTAGCTGTGGAGGACAACATTTAACCACTTTCGAGATTGTTTGATGAGCAGTGTAAACACCTTCCTGAAAAAAATAAATAACAATGAAAATAATTTCTAACTTTGTAAATCCATTATTTTATCCCAACTAAGAACATAATATAATGATATAATTGTAGAAAAATCGATACATACCTTAATTCCTGTCCGTAATTTTAAGGTTAGCGGAGTATTTCCAATTACTTTTGACATTGTTTTCATGACCTCAACAAGCTTATTAGATCTCAAAGCCAAACTACACCCTCCACCTTTTTCATTGATTAGATCAATCGGACAACCACAGTTGATATCAATAAAGTCTATCTGGAAAGAAATATATTTGAGAAAAAATTATAAGATGCTACGACAAATAAGCGAATAAGCAAATAAAAATTGATAAAAATAAAGAAATGAATGTCTACTTGCTCATTCTCAGCAATAATTTGTGCAGCACGAGACATCGAGTCAGGATAACCACCTGCTAATTGGACACCGAAATACTTTTCATTTGGATGGCGCTTTAATAATGACCATTCCGACGATGTACCATTCAGATAGTTTGTACAAATTCCTGAAAATTATCTCACTGATTTTCATTATTTCCTCAATTACTTAAATTTTCTATTTGATAAATTTTAAAGAAAAAAAAAAAAAGAATTCTGAATATCCAACATACCCATTTCAGAACACGTTATTTCAGCACCAAAATCTACACAAAGTCGACGAAATGGTAAATTGCCTAACGTTGTTAATGGTGCCAAATATAACTTCCCCGATAATTCTCGCATATCAATTTTCAAATTTTCACGTTCCATGCAACCTAATGTTTGCAATAATTCAGCAACCGCCTACAAAACGTAGAAACTATATGTATGTACAAGTCACACTTCGAAATCATTCCTGAATCCAAATGATACTTTTTTCCGGTAAGCTTCAAATTTGTTATGGCAACAGTCCATGAATGTGATAAGCTCTATTGCTTGACCAGTTATGGAAAAATGTAAAGTAAATGAAAATTTAGCAATTAAATAAATGAGACAATAAATATATTCCACTTTACCTGATCACTTTTTCCAAAATCATATTTTCGTTTCCTCAGTGCAATCTGAAGCGGAACTGAATTGGCATTTAAAGTTTTTTTGTATGAAACATCTGGAGATTTAGTAATTTGCTTTGCATTAGATGTGTGTGCATTTGCAAACCTAAATTTGATAAACTAGTTGAAAAAGATCGTGAATTTTGCCAAAAAATAAAATAGTTCCAATAAAACTTAACAATTAAATTTTCAGTGATTTTTTTTTTTTTTTTTGACTTTAATATTAGATATGCATAAAATACAAATAAGTATATTAATAATATACATCTATTCATAACGATATTACGAGAACTATTAAAGGATCAACTATTAAGAAGATTGATTATGTGAAAAAAGGATGTGTTAAATAAAATCAAAAATAGCGTACCAAATAATTATGACAACAGCGTATTAAATAAATATTGGTAATAATAAAAAAGTAAATAAAATAAACCTGCATGCAAAAGAAAATGGGCATAAACCACGTTGATCGAAATTATAACAAATTGAGCCTATATCTGGTGGCTTAATCTTTAGGTATTCTTCAATAGAATGCAATGATGTGCATTTCTCGGTATACTTACATGGTTTACCAAGAATAATCGATTCACATAATCTCGGAAGCTGTTGACGAGCATTTGTATATGCCTAAAATATGTAAATAATTGGTTAATGATCAAAATAGCAGTACATAAAATATTATCAAATAAAGTGCTAATTTGTACAACAAGTAAAAAAAAAGAATGTATATCTGACTTAGAACAAATTTTACATATCATCTGACTTAGAAGTAACTAAATTTCATTGCAAATTCTCTAAATCATCAATCTCTTATCGTAACTCACTTTTCGGAGTAAATGTCAAAATTCAAAGTATTTAAATTCATATTAAACAAGCATTTATTTCCTCACGAACATAACCAAAATTAATACAAATGTGAGGAAGAAGAATGCAGAAAATAACATTTAAAAAAAAAAGAAAAAAAAAGCTGAGAATACCGAAAAACATAAACACCGAGATATCTATGAGCGATTTTTTTTTTTTTGAATAAATTAAACCAGCCTTACTAACTAAAATGCGAGATCTTGTCTAATTTTAGCAGAACATACAATCTTGAAAAACAGATTCAAGTTGAAGTGTACAATGAAAGTTTTGCTGAAGTTTAGCTAGCTATCTGAATGCAACATTTTTAAAGGTTTTATCAAAAAATTTGTTTAACCTAATTTCAGCTTCACTTTTTTTTCTAATTACATTCGATATGTCATTTGTTTTGGTGAATTAAAAGTGTCTCTTTTTCTTCTTTTGGTTAATTTGAAATGATAACATATTCAAACAAATTAAAAACATTTTCTGAATTGAATTAAAAGCCAATGAAATCTCCGAATCGAAGCTAAAATTTAGTCCAGCTATTTCATAACGAAAAATCGTAATGAAAAATTTAAATTTACCTCAAATATCCTATGAAAAAGACTAGGCAGAAGATTTTACATTCAATATAATTCTATAGAAAAATGTAAAAAAAAAAAAGCATTAAAAACCGATCCATAACAATTCACTTATAAATTTGCTATTAGTAATACAAATTAAATTCAATAATAAAACCACAATAAAAAAAAAGAAATAATAAATAAATTAAAAAGTTAAATCGAACAGAATAAGCAAATGCTGAGATAAAAAAGTACAGAAAGAAAGAAAGACTGATAGGCAGATCACTAGAACTAAGTGACTCTTACAAGATACAATTCTTACAGCTTTGGCTAATCAATCACAGCTGGACAAGAAGCATCATTAAATTGATGAACTTTGAATATTTCAACTTAATTAACTCATCTATATCAGAAATTATGTTGCTAAAAAGTTTGAAAAATATTTATAAAAAGTACATAAATTTTTGTTTTTTTTTTTTGCCTTTCATTCTTTGAATTTGAAAACTAAATTTGATAATAATTTCTTTAAAACTTCGAAACTTGCAGTACAAGAAATAATATAACGATCAATTATATGAGAGAAACCAATACGAACATAGAACGTCATAAACATTTAAAGTTTTATATCCTTCCAGCAAAGGTTTAATTAATGAATACTTCTGAGTTGAGTAAGGGATGATAATAAGGATCTTAAAGATGCAGAACATTCCTGCTGCATATTTCGCAAGGATATCATAAAGTCTTCAGTAGCTTTAAATTGCAAAGCAAAAGAGTCTGAGCCAGAGATGCCCGAACAAATAACACTGCTTTCAGTTTTCGAAGGGATACTGCCGTTTCTAGACACACTTCCTGATAAATTAGCATTAGAGCTAATGTTTAGATTTTCGGATTGAAAAAGTAATGGTGGCGATGGTTGTTTTGTAGTAATTTGCCGTAGAGCTTGAAGAACTTCCAAACGAAATTCAACTTTTTGTTCTGGATCCAAATTTCTTATAGTAGGAAGTAAGGTAGAGAAAAAAGCGCTATCATCATCATCTTCCGGATCCGGACATCGTTTTTCCAGAATTATTCTCAGTTCCTCCTCCAATTTTTCCTGCTTTATCCAGTTACAGTTAACCTCTGCACTATGGTCCAAAAAAGGCTTCACAGTATTATCGAGAACGAAATCACAAGAATTTCCAGGATCAGTTGCTGAAGAATGAACAGAATCTGGCTTAGTAACACACGGAGTACCCAGGAATGCTAGCAATCCGGCATGGATATATTCGCGCGTTCGTTTACCTCTCGATTTTATTCCTTCGCCATTCTTTCTTCGTACATCTCTCACATAACAATCGCGTATATTTTTCCATTTACTTTGTATTTCTTTTTCTGAAATACACAAGGCTTTCAGAAATTTCAACAAAAATTTTTGAGAATTTACACCTTCCAAAACTACGAACAAAGTTAAATATTTTAGGAAAGTGAAAAGACAAAAAAAAAAAAAAAAAAAAAACGAAAACCATGAAACTAACCAATTCTTTGACGTTCTGTCCAGTCCTTATTTTCAAAATCATGAATAAGCATGCGGCTAACAGTAGACCATCCCTGTCGCCGCTTTGTCCTATCTCGATAATCTTCACATGCTAAATTCCATAGACAAGGTAACTGCTCAACAGCCCAAATTATAGCTTCTGATCTGACTTCACAAACATCCCTTACGGGCCAGCTCACATTTTTCTGGAAACATCGGCGAATGACAAATTAACTGATGACCAAGCAAATTGCAAAAATATCCAGTGCGTTCGGAATGAAATAATAATTTAGTTTTGAGTCCAAAATCTTAAGTACTAATCCTCATCATTTTCGTCAGTTCTGAGTAAAAAAAGAAAACATCCTAAAACTAAAGAAAAAAAAAAGATCAGAAGAAAAACCAACATGCATAAAGCGGATAAATCTCATGCAATGGGAGAGATTAGTTGCATAAAGAATTTGAAAGTATAAAAAAGCATATTTAACAGTGAACATGCTTCTCATTAAAATAATAGATTACCCAGGAAGACCAAAAAATAATATTTACTTGAATAATAATATAATGGATTAATAAAAAGTCAATCAATGAGACCATCAAGGCTTTTTTGACTTCTTTTTGAATTATACAATATTAAAGCAATTATAAGATTTGACAGATTTCTGAAGCAGACACACAAAGGATGACTTACATAAAACTACATCCAAGGACCACCAAGACAATACGTACCAATCATTAGCTTAGATATCACTTATATTAATTAAGTTAGAATTGCTTGAAGCTGCCAAATTAGATTCAGCAGACTAACTTGCTCAATGAGATTCATTTTTTTAAAATTAGTTACGTATTTTATCCATGGAAGTAAATATAAGAAGACAGCATGGAGGTCATTAACTATTTTGGTCATCTATCAACTACTGTCAACAGTGTTAATGGAATACTGTGAGGAAATAAGTTCCTCGAGTTTGTGCAGATCCACAGTTGCACCAAAACTGCAAACATCCAAAATCCAAAATTATGCAAAATACTTACCTCCAGGCATTTCGATTCAGACTTTGGTCAGATTTCACATATAACAATTTTATTCCTTTAGATATTTATGAAAGCACCATTCAAATACTGCAAAGTTCAAAAAAGACGAACACATACCTTAGCCATTTCCTTTCTGCGTTCGCGGTTCATGCCACGATATTTATGTCTCGGTCTTTCCATAACCACTTTGTCATAGTTTTCTGAAAAAAAAAAAAAAAACTGATGCTTTGCAATGTATGGAGGAGTTAACAAAATAAGCATAAGCTCGATGAAAATTATGCAAACAGAAAGATCGACTAGAAAAGCAAATAGAAAACCAATTTAAAAACCAAAAAAAAAAAAACTAAAAACTAATTTAAAAAAAAAAAAAGAAAAAACGACAAACAAGCAACCACAACTAGTTCTTGGATTATCACTCTTTTCATCGATATACTCTTTTTTAATAGGAGCGTAAGCAGGAGGTTTATTATCCACACTGATAGCGGCAGTTGTTGGAATATCGGCGATGGTGGTAGTGATGGTGGTAAATAATGAATTTTTTTCCATGTGGACAGTAGCGAATAAATTATAAGATTTACATATTTTATTGATTAACAGCAGCTTTATTTATCGCATCTAAAATACGTGTAAAATTTCTTCTGGAAAATAAATATCAAACGTACACAACAAGCGTAAATCTAAAACGATGGAAAAATGAAATGAAGAAACTGAATCACCTGGAAAGCAGAACTTTATTTTGCAATAAATGGTCAAATTTCCCATTCGATAATACTCATATATCAATCTGCTTTAAATGCCAACAGTTTTCTTATACTTATTTTTTGTAGGAAAAGAGAATGAGAAATTTCAAAATTAAAAATGAAAGAGTAAAGCACAACAAATTGAGTTTTTAAAAAGATTTTACTTTCGAATCTTGCGAACAATAAGACTATAAAATAAATTACATTAATCAATGCTAATATGAATACATCAATATTTATTTAGCTAATAAAAGATATTGAAGCATTAGATGTGCTAAATATTGAACAAATAAATTGATAGGTTTATTTTGAAACATTTAAATAACACATGGATCTCATCAAAGTATCTGTATCACTTTAACATTATACTTGAAATTAGAAGTAAGTAAATAAAATGAAGAAGAGAGAGAGAGTATACTGCTTAAAGAAATTTATTTACGAGAATACTGCATAAAAAGAACAAAGATAAAGTTAATTTTAGTAAAAAATAACTGAATTAAGAAAAAGTTACTATCCAATTATTAAAGAGGAAAATTAAGTTGAAAGTATGATAAATTTTGAAAAACTTTCTACTATTGGAAACATAATAATCATCGAGAATAACTTATTAGATAGTGACCACTTCTCGAGCTAAGCGGGAAATCTTTAGCAAATTTAGCCGCTTCTCTTGCTCTCGGCGACTTCCAAAACTGCATTTAACATATTTTTCCCCATGGTAATTCGCGGTTTGAATATTCTCCTTTCGTTGTGTTTTTTTTCCTTTTGTTGTTGTTTAATAAATTGACAATTTTAACTTTCATTCATATTTTTTGTTTGCATTATTCATTGGTACTGAAATAATTATCAAAATCACATAGATTCTGATGAAATAATATTCGTTGATAACCAGAAGGAACTTACTGTATTACCAAAATGACTAATTACGATGAAGCGCCAAAATATATCAATGATAACACTTATCGTAAGTATTATGAATTCGTAATAATTCTATAGAGTTATAATTGAATCTCATTTACTAACAGTTATTAGTAACAAAATAAATTAGAGTTATTAGTAACAAAATAAATTAAAGTTATTAGTAACAAAATAAATTAAAATAAAAAATTACAAAATAAACTAATGTGTTTATTTGATTCATAATTAAAAGCCAAATAAATTATATTGTTTTATGTCTTATTTATTCTGCAAGATATTCGGGTTTTTTTCTTTGCAGAAGTTTTTGAAAATATCAATGCATCACGTATTCTCAGGGATATTACATTCGTAAGGTTAAACGTAGAAGATGTTTGCATGAATGAAGAAGATGAATTTATCATGGAAGTGATCAGAAAACGATCCTTGTTTGGGTACTGTTTTTTTTTTTTTTTTTTTTTTTCTTTTAAATTTTTCATCCCTTTTGTTTCGTTGGCCCGAATTGGAAGTTATGAAATAACTGAGTAGTTTTATCATGCTTTATTGATATTCTAACTTTTATATTGCTCAATTTTCATAGTTTAGATTTATTCTGGAATATCAATTTCCATCGATAGATGCTGCATCTACATCACTGAAGGCAAGGGTTCGCATACATGCAAAGCACTTCAATGGTAATGTCATTCATTTCCGACATAAACGTGTTATACGGATTAAGATGATTCCGGAATTGGTTAATTTATGGAAACGGTCATCGTTGTTGTTAGCAATTTATGCGAAATTGAACACATTGGGAAAATATTCTGTTAGTTTAAATTTTCCCAAATTCGATTCAGTTCACTATTATATTATTGGTAATCATTGATAGAAAGACTTTTTTCAAAACAAATTCGGAACAAAAGATTCAAAACAAAAGAAATTCTTCTTTTTGGGAAAAATTGATGTTTTCGGTTTTTGTTTGGAAGCTTTCGTGTCCAATATAGTTTTTCTTCACTTTTTTCATGATTTTTTTTTTTTTTTTGAATAGTGTTGTTGACTGTTCCGCGAAGAAAGAGTGATGCATGTGTAATTTCATATTTCTTTTTACTGTGTTTTGAGTCTCAAAGAAATTTGTGCTCTGCAAACAAAGCTTAATATAAGGATTACAATTAAAGTAGCCCGAATTTTACAGATGAAAAGGTTGGGAATCTGTGAAGTGCCGTTAGAGGAACTTGTTATTCCTCCTTTTATCATTTGTCGAGATTTTCTGTTTGCTGGTCCCGGATTCTCAGCTTCTGCTTTGGTTTGTTTTCAAAAATCGAGTTTTTTTTTTTTTTTAAATTCTGATCGTTTATTTGACAGAATGAATTTGATTAAGTTAAGCAGGTCCTCGATTATGAACAATTTTTTAAGATGCTCTTCATCTGTTGTTGTTATTATTGGAAGATTTTGGGATGCCAAAATACAAGTGAACTTACAACTTTCACTTTTAACTTTTAAGGACTTAAGTCGTGATGCTCAATTTGTTAATTAATCAATTAAATTGTCATAACTTTAGTGCTGCAGATAAAAATTGATCTTGGATCACATATACGACTATTGATGGAAAGGTTAGAATGGATGAGAAATGGTAGTTTACCACAAAATGGATCAGTTACTCGTGCCAGATCAAGGTCCTGCAGTAGAAAAGGATCAAGTTATACATCAAAACGACTAGCATCTCCACTACCACAACGTCGTGCCTTCTCTTCATCTCCTCCTCGTTCTTCAAGGATCGCTGATCAAGTTGAGTTCCTTGTTGCTACTTTTATTCTATCTTGGAATATCATTTTTATGTTTTTTCTTTTTTTTACAGTGAGTGGAAAATTTTTCGGACATTTGAGAATTTAATTTTAACTGTTCAAAAAATATTTTAGTACTGAGACCTCCACCGTTGAATCTTGACAGTAGTAGTTCACGAGATACTTCACCGCATGCAATTAATGTTCCGCGTACAGCAATACGTGAACTTTGTCCAACAAGTCCATCTTATCGAATCAGATTAACCGTTTATTCGGCTCGTCGTTTGCCACTTTCATTCAATTCCAGGTAATTTTTCCCTAGTTTTCAAATATTTTACTGGATGGTAATGTTCAATGTTCGTTAATAGTTTTTCTTAAGGAAATTAATGCACATTTTCCTTTTACAGAGGTGATGCTGTTGCGCCATCAACTTATCTAACGGTGATTGGAGAAGATGGACGTACTTTGAGTTCACCGGTACGTGCTGGAACATTACATCCAGAATGGAATTGGACGGAAACATTCAATGTTTGTTCATAATTTTATGTACAGAATAATTCAACAATGTAAAGAAAGCTTTAATTCCTTAATCTTTTCCCAATGAGTTTGATTTTAATTTTTCAAATTCAGCAGATTCTTTCTGTTTTAGGTATCAAGAAGTCGTCAAAATTTGGTCGTGAAATTATGGAAGCGTTGTATTGTTGGAGCAGATAAAGTAATTGGTTTTATATCACTACAACTGCCACCTACTGATACAAGAAAATCGGAGTACGAAATGTCAGATTTATCAGTTTCAGATCAAGCACCACTGATAACTGTAAGCATTTATTTTGTTGTATTATTATGATTGTTGTTATGTTTATTAGCTATACTGATATATAACTTAATATTTTAGGTGAAAAAAAATCGTTTCCATATTTCTGATCTAAAGTGCTGAAGATATTGTTAAAATATATTTTTATAAACTTATTATTTTACTTATTACTTTAAGTTCTTTCTACCGATCACTCTACATTCAAGGCTCTACTCTTTGCTATAAATACATGCAAAAATGCACATCTTTGATTGTTAATCTTTCATTTGCTCTTTATTTCAGCTCTCTATTTCATGTGAAACCTTTCCACATGGTGAGTCATATAATAATACGCCATTATTAGCTCCATCACCACCAGTACCATTCAGGCCTTTTCTCACTGAAACATGTCCACGATTACAAAAGATGACAAGGGAAGAAGTATTCGAAAAATTGAGGTAATATAATGGATTATTTTTTTGATCATTTTTGGCGCATAAATTTGATGAGCTTGGTTTTAAGAAAAAATTTTGAGTGTGTCCTTTGTTTTCCTTTTTCAAATTAATTTAGAATTTTATTGCTGCTTTAGTTTAGGCTTTAAACAAACATTAATTTTCGGAAAATTTAACAGGAAAAATATCTCCGAATTAGAACATATGATGGCGCGATTGAAGTATTCGTGATTGCTGCTTCTGATGAATATTTTTGGCTGAATACAAATTGCTTCTGTATTTATGTGCTCTTACAAGTGATATTACACTGAGACTGACGATCCTATTAATTGCAAGTTGCATTTCAGTTTTTTTATGAGTGAAGTTTGAATTTATTATTATTACTAGTCCAAAAAAAAAAAAAAAAAAACAAGAAATTAGATTTTTCATGTTAAAACTAGAAGTGCAGCTGCATGGAATAATCAAATACTCTTAAATATGCAATGTATACTTAGGCGTGTCATTTCATTAATTATTCATATCTGCTTTACCCGTCGAGCATTAATCCTGTAATCCTAATCCTGTAATGTGACAACCGCTAAGCACAATTACTGAAAGTCTATTAGCGCTTGTCGCATATTCATATTTACACAATTAGTTTAGAATTGCAGATACTATTAGGTTTCAACTTATTTTTTCCATTATTCATTTTTAATGGATTCAGCTTGTGAATAGTTGCTGCTTCAATATAAACATATTCGATATACACATATATATTCTTAATCAAGTGATTGAGAAAATAATTACTAGGACTGTTAAGATTCTGCATGGTTAAGGGATTTAAAATTGGCATTCTTATATTTCAGGCGAGATACTAAGAGATTTACAAACTTCATAAATTGTAGAAAGAGAAATAATATGTCTAACTAATCTACATCTACTTTCTTCTTGATGCTAAGTGGAATTTTGTCCAAATAGTATATATTTAGGTAATACATTTCAATTATGGGCACTTCCAATGATAACATCAGTACTTTTTCTTTTTAATTTTTTTTTTTTTTTCACTCCAGCTGTATTTTCTTCTCAAAGAATTTCAGTTTTTGACTTTAGTAAGTCACAATTGTCTTCACTTTTCATTCTCTCACTGACATAGTGCACTCACCACTAAGATTAATAAGTTGCGAAGCTTTAATTTGAATGTGAAAAAATCATGCGTAAAGATGTAGGTCACAAAATATATCTGCTAGATTTGAACGTTGGATATTATTAAAATGCTGTCACTGTCAACAATGCACACATATGATGTAAAGATGTGCAAAAATATATCAAAGCATTTACTATTCTATACTAAATAACAAGAAAATGCAAATCTAATTGTGATGAACATGTGAATTCAATTAACATAACTGCAATTGGTGTTGCAAAAGCAGAATAAGTTCTTTCAAAACTCTAGAGAAATGCAATTAATTGTTATTAAAATTATCAGAACTCAATATGAAATCCGAATGACATTGAAAGAGCTCATAAAAAAGTAATACTCATTAAGGGCATTGAATGAGAGAAATGCTTATATTCGTTCAATATAGCTTTTTTTTTAAAAACAAATTTTTTGAGAACAGGAATATAGTAATTGAAAAGAGAATGTGAAGATTTCTGGGAAATGTTAATGCTAAAAGGATGTCAGAAAATGAAGCTTAATATTCTAAACCTCCCTGCTTTCGCTCTTATGATTGACCTATGACCTACGTATAGTATAAGAATTACACAAGCAATAAACTTCGAAATATATGTATTATTTATCGAGAATTTCGAAACTATCATCCTTAAAAACTGTTGCTAAGCTCACTTGTTCTGCACAGCAAACTTCAATTTCTTCCATTTTCTTCTGATCCATATTTTGCTTTCTATCATTTGATCTTTCATCATTGGAATCTTCCAATTTTTGAATTTCCACAGTATCTCTCTGAAATTCTGCTCCCGGACAACTCTCCGATTCAAAATCAAATGCATCTAAGTTTTGAAGATCCGCATCATCTGATGCATTCTGAGCAGACGATGAAGGCACACTTTCAGAATGACTACTTGTTGACGATGAACGCTTATATTTATTTTCATCGTTCTGTGCTTTATGTGCTCTTGAAATTAACTTATCACTGCAAGTCGATGGTGCTGGATCTTTTGGATGGATCTTTGGTCTTTTTCTCAACGATTTCTGAGAATTTGACTTCGTTCTCAGTGCGAATTCAGCTTCGCTTGAGTCTGAACTATCTAAGTTCGGGAATTTCAAACCACGAACAAAATCACGTTCATCTTCTAAAAACAAAAAAGTGACGACTTGTAACTATTAGAAAATAACAGGAGTTTTAAAGATACAAATTAAGTTGCCTATATAAATATATCTGAAACTGAAGATGAGGGAAAAAAGGAAAATCATTTCTCACAGTGATAGTGAAAAGAATGAAATAGCTTATTGTATTTTACTTAATAAATCTGGCTCGAAAACATACAGAAATTTAAAAATGACCTGTAAAAGGACTAAGAGATCGACTTGGTAACGAAGGTTTGTCGGAGGCTTCTTCAATGTCAGATTCTTCTTCATTACTGAAACCAGGTGGTAGCAAATCCGCTAATTCAGTATCTGTATCATCTAAACAGCTGATTGTATCGCAAAAAAAAAAAAAATCTCATATTACATTAAAATTATAAGATTTTTTGTGTTTGTTCTATACCAATCAATATTCTAGAGATTTTTTTATCAGAAAGTTGTTGGAATTTATTTTTTTTAAAAAAAACAGCAGTGTAAAGACAAAGAGTATAGTACTTTTAAGTATCATTGGTAAAAAAAAAATCTGAGATATAAAATATTTAGAGAATACAAATGTAAATTACTTACCGCAAAATGGCGATCTTTCAGGAATATGATTGACAACAACTTGGCAAACCGGACCTAAACAATAAATTAATAAGTAGTCCTCGCATACTTTATATTTCTCATATAGAATATCAATTACCGGCTGCAGTAAAATTCGATAAAGTTGTGCGCAGACCTGAAATTGTCAAAAAAAATGCTGAAAAGAATGCCTACAAAAAATTAAAAAAGCTTTAAATAGTTTTTTGACAAGTAAGTGAGGTCATTCAAGAGGTATCAAAAAAAAATCATTATCCTAATTTGGTCTAACAAACATTTATTCCCGTATATTAAAAGATACTGTCTTGATTTGAAGTCAAAAGCAAAGAAACTATAAACTAAAAGTACATACCTTATGCATTAATGAAATAAGTAATACAAAGAAAGGCCATAATATACTGTCGCGCACTCTTATCGCTAAAGTACGCAACAATCGTTTTATATATACCAAAACTTTATCAATTTGGCGTTTAATCCATCTGAAATATGCAAAGAAACGAAGTTTAAAAATTACTATAACACAAACAGATAATAAAGATTATTAAAATAATCATAAACATTTTGGAATAATTTAAAATTAAAATAATTGAAATTTTTAGAATCAAAAATCACTTACATTTTAACTGGATTCAAGATAGACTGTTGAAAAAAATTATAAAAACATTTGAAATATCTTGAAAGAAAAGCAATAAATGGATTAAACCAATAGCCATGAAAAATATATACAAGACCAAAGCAGAAATAGTTAAAAAGTAATTGTAGCCGAAGTGTAACATTTAGAATAAACCAAGACTTAAGACTAGGCCACCAATGAGCACACAGCCAATATTGTAGAAATTGAATAATTGCACGATAAGCATTCCGTATTGGTTTAACAATTTTCGTTTTTATCCATCTTATAAGAGCAGAAAAAAAATTCAAAATTGAATTTTGAATAGTGACAAATGTATAATGAATATAATTTTTTATAGCAATAATAGTATAATATAATGCATCTTTTGATCTAATAAATGCCACATTTAAACAGTGCTTTAATCGTAGAATCATGCCAATTAAACCATTTTTAAGTGTCAAATATCCAAAAAATATTCCATCTTTGAGAAATGTTATTATGAAAATTATTCCATTCTTTGCACTCATTATTGCATTTAATATTCCATTCCTTGTAGTCATTACCAGAAATACTATTCCATTTATAACTGCCACTGTAAATATACATATTACTATTTTTCATGCAAATTATTAACTTTAAACAATATTTTCACAGATGATAAGAAATTTTGATAGTAATGAAAAATTTATAAAATTTACTTCTAAATTCGTAAACTGTGCATAATATGAAATTCTTAAGATTGAATAAGGTTGAAATTGTAACATTTAGCACAGCATTTTTTCCAGCGCATAACTTAGTAATTGTTGCAATATAGATACTTCTTACTGTTGCTTTTATCCTCAGTAATTCTTCCATGATTTTTTCTAATATTGCTGGAAAAAAAAAAAAAGTTCGAAATAAAAATTTTATATCTCTCAAATTCTTCCAATAAAGGAAACAAAAAATCATAAAAAAAAAAAAATAAAACATTGTTGAAAGACATTATTCTTTTTTTCAAAACATAAGAAAAAAGACAAAAATAACTTCTTAAACACTTCAAAGCTTTCCTAAACTAAAGCATTTTAAATTGCAACAGAAATAATATCAACAAAAATATGAAATTAAGAAGAAAAAAATTTTTAAAATTTAAAATAAGGGAAACAAACCTATCAGCCATTTTAATCTGATGATATAATCAAGAATTCTATAAAATTTACAGAAAGGAGAAATGATAGTAATCTCAGCAATATATTTCGTTGTTATGCACACTGTATACAAACATTCGTTGATCTTTTGTGGTATTTGATAGTATAGCCATACCGGGTTTATCATTAATAATCCAACTAAAAAAGTAAAATTTTTTTTTTTAGAATGCGATCAAATAAAAAAGAAAATTAAGTAATAACGAGTTATAAGAGGTCAAATTCAATAAAAAGTACATTAAGAAGCACATCTTTACAAAGTAAATACTATAAAAATTATAGGAAGTAAAAAGTACAACTACCAAAAGTATATATCATTGTTTATATGTTTACTGACAATGTACTCTCTAAAAAATCAAAAAAGGAAAACCTGCACTATATGCACTCCAACATGCTTTTTCAAATTCGGTCAAATAAAGGAACTTTGCACTGTACAATGCCATTACTACGCTTGCCGTCTGTAAAAAAGAAATAGTAAATATTTTTGAAATTACTAGAGTTATCATTCAAATTTATATCAATGCTAATGAATCACAAAATAAAAGTTATTAATGATCAAAATGACAGAACTGAAAGAAATTTAATCTATAACTTAGCATAATGCCAATTATACTGTTACAGTCCTATTTCACTCTAAAAATCATATTTTAAAATGAATTTTTATAGTTTTAAATTCTGTTATCCTAATTTTCATTCCTTTATTTCATTTTTCAAACCGCAATAAACTTAACCAAAAGTGTTCGATTAAAAATTTTTTAGCTAAAATTTGCAAAAACTAACCCTCAATACACTTCGTATAGGCCATGTTAAGATATGGCACAAAATACTTCGATCATAAGTTGAGGATAATAAAATATCCCAACTGAAGACACCTGCAGCAAATGAGATCAATAATCGTAGTTGTGTTCCTTTATCCAAATAAAAAACACTCCACCTAAAAAAAAAAAGAAAAATGAAACGAAACCATTCTTTTATAACAAAAAAAAAAAAAAGAAACGCTCAAAAAATTTGAGACTTAAATAATCTTTCCAGTAACTTTTACATTTAGTCGTTTCTCTTCTTTTTCTTTTTAGATATGTTCTGATCCAATTTTTTAGAATCAACTTTTTCTATTTGCAATTTTTCTCCAATGTATTCTTTTATCCAAATAAAAGACATTTCACCTTCCTTTTAAATTATCACATACTATCTCTTCTCTTATCATATAATTAAGATCAATCGATTATTCAATACAATCGAACACAGATAATAACTGGATATATATTTATCATTTTATCATTTAAATATCTTTACAAAAACTTATTCCTTTTTTTTAAAAAAAATAGTAATATTCACTTACCAAAAAGCACTATTAATAAACATAAAATATGGTGCAGAAGCAGCGGAACGCCATTCGATTACTGCTAAAATAGCTGATTTTATAGCGCAGTAACCATTCCGCATAATTTCCATTTTCTAATTGTTTTAACATCAAAATGCAATATAAGCGATATGATGATAATTAATCAATGATGATATTACGGCAATTTCATCGTCATCATCCTTTCCATATCATAAATATTTCAGATAAGTTAAAATCTAAAATTTGCATACTTGAATCATAATAATAACAATAATAATTAAGAAGATATAATAGATGGATAAAAATTAATAAATGTTATTTAAGAATTAATAGAATAAATGATGCATATCTTATATATTAATTCAATTTCAAATCAATAATGATATATTATAAAAAATTATATGTATTACAGTGATATACAATCAAATGTTCATTCATTCATTGATTATTATTTTTTGGTTCTTTTTTCTTTGTTTAGTCCAAATATTCAGTCTAATATGAAATTGAAATTACAAATTAATATGAAATGAATTTACTACAGATGTGTTAGTAGTGATAAATAAACATTAAAAAGAAAAAAAAAGAAAAGATAAAATTTGCTTTCTAGAAGAAATATGAGGATTGCAGAGAGAAAAATTTTGTGAAAAGTTAAATTTTGAAAAAAAAAAAAAACTGACCAAACTAAAAGAAATCAATAAACTATTGATCACTTTTGGTAATTAATTATAACACAAAAATTATCAACCAATTGCGATGTAAGTATAATTGACTAGAAATTATAATTAATGACTTAGATAAATTAAGCAATAAAAATAATTTTTACTAAGATAAATGTTATTATTATTGATATATTTTAAATGCTAGTGCAAGAAGAGAGAAATTTTGAGAAGATTTAGAGAACAAATATTTGTAAGATGTGTGTAACATAGAAACAGACTATAAGTAAACAAAATAAATGTTAAAAGCAAACATTAGACAGTGTATTCGTTAAGATTGACAGTACATTAGCAATCTTAAATGTAAAGTTAAAATATGAAAAGAAAAGTTTTAAAAGTTTAAAAACAAAACAAAGAAAAACAAAAAAAAAAAAAACATCGACTAACAGAAATGTGTAATAAGACATAAAATGTTTATTGATTAGCTTTATGATTGTAATTAAATAGATTTCTGGTGAAATAATCAAGTGAAATTTTATAAGTATAAGCATAAGTTTCTTTTTTTTAGTAAGCATTTTAAAGTACAATAATATGTCAGTAAAATTTTCAAAATATTAGGACAAATACTGTGTATAAACATTAATTATGGTAAAAAAAAAAAAAATGAAAGCTAAGCATTCATCTGAAACAAAATTTTAAAAAAAAAATTTTCATTTTTTTTTTTGAACTCTATTTCAATTACTATAGTTTCATTTAATTTTTATTATTTAAAATTATCAATAAATGAAGTAAATTATGTGATATAAAATATTGAGTAAATCATAATAATTGATAACAATCACTATCTCAGTAGTTGAAAGCGGTCGTTAAGAGAATGTAATAAATTAAATGTTATTGAACTTTTTTTTTAACTTTTAGAAATATAATACTATTTTACCTATTAGAATTATTCTGTTTATTTGGATACTTTGTTTTTTCTTTTCCCTGAAATGTTTGCATCCATTAATCATTGTTCATACTTTGTTGTAGAAATTAAAATCGAGTATAACTAGTTTTTACTTTAATTACAAATTTATAAAAAGCAATGAAAAGAAACACTGAATAACTTGAAATTTCTGATTGAAAAACAATTTATATTTGTAATTTTGGATTTCAAATCGAACATAAAGAGAGAAAAAACAAAATATTCTACACATTTTAGACGTCATAATAATATGTTTACTGTGCCAAATTGTCAACCAGCTAAGGAACTTTATGGCTCGCTAGAAGTAAAATTGCATACAAATGTAGGGGATTTGGAAGCAAGTAGAATACTTGAACAACGTCTTCAATTACTGGGAATAAAAAATTCTATAGTGCAGGAGAAAGTAGACGTAAAAACTTCTTCTGGTACTATTTTTTTCGTAAAATTTTCCGAATTCAATTGATAAATAGTAAAATATATATATATATATATATATAAAATTTTATCCGGTTAAAAAGTTAAATTCTACAAAATTTATTGATAATTTAAAATCATTTACAAATGCATAAATTAAACACTATGTAATAAGTTACTGCTAAACATTTCGAACTGATAATATTTGTAGAATCGAATAATTCAAATAAGCAAATCACTCTGCTAATGAATTCATTTGAACCGATAATTTTTGCGCAGGTTATTAGCATTTTTTAATAAAAATAAGCAATTTGTTTATTATTCTTCATTTCAACTTAAGAATTATCATACATAATACAATGAAGAAAAAAATAAATAAATAATTTTCCATTTTAGAAAATGAAAGAATTCTATTTTTCTTTTTCTTTTTGTAGAAAATACGTACAGATGAAGAAACAAAAGTAAGAAAATGTTCAATTCGATTATGGTTATGGCATCAATATTTATCACGAAATGGTAATTGTTCTTTATGTGATCGACCGCTTAATGGATTACATGAAGTTAGGGAATTTTAATGTTTGAGTATTTGATATAAAATTAAATGAAATATATTTATAGGAAGGAATTAATTTTATTTCATTATTGGAAGGCTTATTTTTGAAAGAAAAATGCAGTTCAAAGTCATTATAAATTTAAGCACTCTGTGTTAATTTTAAAAAAAAAAAAAGCTTTTTTTGATTTAATAAACTTTTTTTTTTTTGATTCCTTCTGGGAAGGTAAATATTATTGTTATATGAATTATGTATAGTTTCTTTAGATATATTTACTAAAAGTATGAAATGTTATCAATCAATAAAGAATAAAAATGGAATGATTTTTCTATCTCTCTCACCATCAAATATTATTCAATGAAATGAAATTACATTAATCAAACACTTCAAAAATTTATTCATTTAATAAATTTTGATAAAGTATAATTTACTAAAGGATGTGATAATGTTAACATGTGCGCATGCAATGCATCCAGAATGTGTGCAAGAAATGCGTCAAAATCGAAATGGTTGTCAAAAATGTGAATTCAATTCGACTAAAATAAATAATTGGCAAAAACGAAAGAGAAAAGATAAGAAAAAAAAATATTTATGCTAATAATAATGTATGAATTATATCATATTCGTACATTATTATTATATTAAACTGATATTTTGTTAATAACAAAGAATATCATTAATTATTACTTTAATAGTTAATAAAAAAATATACAAACAAACATATAAATTTTCGTTTTCCTTTTCATTATTATTATTATCACATACTTAAGTAAAAAAAAAAAAAAAAAAAAAAAACATTTATAAGTATACTAATGCACATTACTTCAAATGACGAATTACTGAGAAATGTGATAATAGAGTGATGCGGAAAACAAACACATACAGTAGTGATGCAACAATTGCATAGCGTCACTTTTATGCAATCCTTTGGTATGGTGGTCTGAGAATTGTGGGCGGTGCTTCTTCTCTTCCCACCCTATGAAAATGCGGTGGTGAATTTTCAGTTTTTCTTTCTCTTGTTTTTGGGTTGAATTAGGTTTTTTTTTTTTTTTTATTTTGTTAATTAATTTCATATTTAGGTTAATTTTTAGATTGATTTCTTTATTTTATTAATCTGAAGTTAATTAATTTAAAATAAACAAGCAATATAAAATGAATGTTATTAGTTATGTGTTAAACGCTACAGATGAATTAATTAGCAGTCATAATTGAAGTAATTTAAATGATGGAAAAAATTACTGGAGAGGTGCAAACGATAAAAGATAAATGGACTCTTGTTCCAGCGTTTTTACAGGTCAATTATATAATACGTTTTACAATTTTTTTGTTGTATTAGTCAGTATTAGTTTTATAAGTATTTTTTTTTCTTCTTTTTTTGTATATTTAATTTTGGAAAGAAAGAATAAGGTTGTTTCAATTTGAAAAGAAAGGTATGGAAATTTTATTGTTTTTAAAAGTATTTTTTTTTAAAGTATATTTTTTGTATTAAAGGTTCGTGGACTTGTTAAGCAACATATTGCCAGTTATGACTATTTTGTCAGTACTGAAATCAAAAAGATTTTACGAGCTAATGATAAAATCACGAGCGATGCGAATCCGTCATTTTATTTGAAGTAAAGCATTTTCCCAAGTTTAAGTCTACTTTTAAACTTCTTAAATTTAGCAAAGACAAGCAGCCAGTGATTTAATTTCAAAGATTAGAAAAAAGAAGAAAATGGTTAAAAATGAAGTGAATTTGAGGATTTATTGCAGGTATTTGGATATCCATGTTGGAATGCCTTCAAGCGAGGAAGGTTTTAATCAAATTAATGATAAGATTAGTCCACATGAATGCCGCCTTCGGGATATGACTTATTCCGCACCTATTTCAGTCGATATTGAATACACTCGCGGCAGTCAGCGCGTCTTGAGAAACGGTCTTATAATCGGCAAAATGCCTGTCATGCTACGTTCTAGCAAATGCGTCTTAAAAAATATGGTAATTATAGGTTTTTTTCCTGGAATTTGCAGAAATGCGATTTGTGTTTTGTGTTTTATTTTTAAAACCAAGCGAAAAATTATTTTAAATTAGTCTTGCAAAAGAATTTTTTAAGAATGAAAGTGAACTGGCACGTGTTCAAGAATGTCCATATGATCCGGGTGGTTATTTCATTATACGTGGATCGGAAAAAGTGGTTCTTATTCAAGAACAGCTTTCGAAGAATCGTATCATGATTGGACGAAACAGCAAAAAAGAACTACAATGTGAAGTACGCTAAATTGTTAATTAACATCTTTGATTTTATGCATTTGTTAAATTTTACATATCTCAAACTACTGAATTCTAAAAGCGCAAATTTAACTCCATCTGTATTTAAATTGTTTATTTATGTTTATTGCTGTATTGCTGTAAGTGTATTCAAACTTCGAAGTTTCAGACTGTATTTTTTTACTTCTATTTTTACTTCAGTTCTCTTTTCGCCTCACTCTTTATCCTTTCTTTCCAGTTTTTTTCTTTTCAAATAATAGTTTTATATCACTTAAAGAAATTTTTTCAGTTTTAAATATGCAAATTATGCTTGCAGATACTCAGTTCTACACAAGAACGTAAAAGTAAAACATACATTGCTAGTAAGAAGCAGCGATATTATGTTCGTCACAATCAGCTTTCTGATGACGTACCAGTAGCCATCATTTTTAAGGTAAACAAGCGAGTTGGGTCACAGAGAAACACTGATTCAACAGTTATTCGTTTATTAAACTATCAGATTTTGATTTGTTTGCTTGAAATAGAAATAATTATAAATAATTGGTGGAAAGAATATAAAACATCAATTTACACAAGTAATAACTTGATTTAAATGATAACTTGGTTCATGTGATATAGTTTTGCAACTGTTTTAATACATGTTTTCCCCTCTTCAGTTAGTTCGACTTATTTTTTGCATTACTGATTATAGCAAATGACTGATGTAGGCTGAAATTTTAGACACTTAGGACCCTTTGTGAAATTAGTTATTATTCCAGGCGATGGGATTTGAATCGGATCATGACATTGTTTCGGCTGTTGGTTTAGAGGAGAAGTTTGTTGCTGCAATGGCGCCATCAATTGAAGAATGTGCAAGTCATCAAATTGTAACACAAGAAGGTGCACTACAATACATAGCTTCAAAGGTTCCTTTTTCTTTTTAAGTATCGAAGTGAAGGATACTGAAATTTTCCTTCCCGACAAATAATTCAGTTATATTTTTTCCTCATAGTAATGCATTTAATGGTTTATCTTATTTTGTTATTTAGGTTAAAATACGCAAATTTGGCCCAGCTACTTCTGGCACATCAACGTTACCACGTGAACATGAAGCCATTGATTTCTTATCAAATCTGATGATTGCACATGTGCCATGTCCGGACGGAAATATGAAAATGAAAGCTGTTTATTTGGGATTAATGGTTAGAAGGTATGAAAAGCGAAATAAATTTTTAATTTCTGAAATCTTTCATAATTTTTTAATATTGTTCATGAATACTGAAATTTTCACATTTTTTGAAGTGTTCCGTTCTTTTAAGGACTTTTTGAAAATTTATCAAAATGTTTATATGTGAGCATACAAAAATTATTTTTGGATCTTTGTGTTTTGATTATTAGAAATAAAATTATTCATGAAAGGAAGAAAGCATTTTTAAATAATATCTCTCAGTGTTTCATATTTTTTCAGATTAATGCAAGCAGAAGTGGGTGATACTGAATGTGATGACCGTGATTTTTACGGAAATAAACGCTTAGAGCTGGCGGGCTCTTTACTTGCATTGTTATTTGAGGATGTTTTCAAGAGGTACCATTATTACTTTCCAAACTTATGACTTCATTCTAACTAAGTATTTCAAGCCTGACGTTCATAAAAACATTTTAAGGAAATTAAGTGACAATTTAAAAAAAAAAAAAAACAGTTTCCAGGTTCAATTCTGAGCTGAAAAGAATTGCTGACAACAGTTTGGGCAAAACGTTGGCTGCTCCACTTGATATAGTTAAACACGTGCGCCAGGTTCGCTGTCACATCAGTTGGTGTATTTGTTGTTTGTAAATTTACATGATATCTTTACAAAGCATCAATTATGATGTATTTTTAATGTTTATATAGATGACATAAGATGTTTCAGGACTTAATAACAAATGCACTAGTCGATGCTTTAGCAACTGGAAATTGGACAATTAAACGATTTAAAATGGAAAGACAAGGAGTGACACAGGTTTTTTTTTATCATCTAGACCTCAGTTTTGGAATTTTTGTATTGTAAAGGAGTTTAATATTTTAGATTTTGTCACGTCTTTCATATATCTGTTAAATATTTTAGGTTTTATCACGTCTTTCATATATATCTGTATTGGGCATGATGACCAGGATCAATTCAACTTTTGAGAAAACGAGGAAAGTAAGTTTAGTAGATAATAAAGAATTTGTTGAATGGGATTTAGTTGTGATAATAGAGATGTTACTTATCTTAATGAAGTCAAATCACTGTTAAGCTTTTAAATTGAAAATTGAATATTTTTCCACTATTTAGCCAATTTCAGGTTTCTGGACCGCGCTCTCTGCAACCTTCTCAGTGGGGAATGTTGTGTCCATCTGATACACCGGAAGGGGAATCTTGTGGTCTTGTCAAAAATTTAGCTCTTCTCAGTCATATTACCACAGATAGCGATGAAAAAGTTTGTTAATTTCTCGCTTTTTTTTGGCTTTTTTACATGCAGGCTCAATTTTGGAGTAGATATTTGCAAAATAATCCAGTGCATTCTTGTAAGAGCATGTTTGCAGCCTGTAATTCGTTTATTATACAATGCGGGTGTCGAAGATGTTAAGTCACTTCATTTTTCTGCTATTCATAATCCGTAAGTTTTCTCGTTAAAAAGCATTTAAATTGTACTGTCGTAATGTGCATAACTAAAATTATTTTCATGGTGTGAGAAAAAAAAGCAGATGGAAAATGAAAAATTTCATTGGTTTCTAATTTTGCAGAGCATATCATATTGTTTTTTTAAATGGTGTTATCGTTGGTCTAACGATCGATCCACAGCGAATAGTTTCAACGATAAGAGCTGTTCGAAGGCATGGTTTACTCAATGAATTTGTTTCGGTGTCAACAAATGCTGCTCAGCGATCGGTTTATATAGCCAGTGATGGTGGTCGTCTTTGTCGACCGTACATTATTGTGAAAAATAGCATACCACAAGTTACACAGGAGCATATTGAGGTGATTACAATTGTTAACAGAAAAGGAAATTGACTCATTGACATTTTGAAATTTGAAATTTAAATTGTTACATGTGGAAAGGGTTTTTTTGTTTATGTAATAACATATTAGCGTTGTAAATTTAAAGACATGATGCTTTGTTGACATTTCTTTTTCGTTCATTCTTATAATTATGTAATCATATCGCAGTATTCTAAAAATTCCTTACAGGAGCTCAAGAAAGGATATCGCATTTTCGAAGATTTTGTCGATGATGGTCTAATTGAGTACTTGGATGTAAATGAAATGAATGATGC